GGGACAATTCAAGGATGGTAATTTCAATGGAAAAGGTACAAAATACTGTGCCAATGGGAACAAGTATACAGGTGATTGGATCGATGACAAACAAGTAGGTGAAGGTGTCTATACGTGGCCCAATGGTGATCGATACGAGAATCAGTATTCACAAATATCTTCTCCTGATCTATTGTGACGGTTGACGTATAAGAAAGGATAGTTGATACAATCTATGAACAACTCATGGGGCAATTCAAGGATGACAAGAAGAATGGAAAAGGCACGCTTTACTATTCCAACGGTAAAGTTCAAAAAGGAACATGGTCAAATGGCACATTCGTTGGATGATCTCATCTCTATTCGTGTATGACGTCAGCTGCATGCGTTGATAAAACTTAAGTCTTTTTGTTTACAATGAGCACGTAGCAGACTAGCAATAATGATGAATCAGTTTTGTAATACATAAAGAAAATCGATAAATGAAAATATAATGTTTTAAATTTTAATGTAGTACAAAATAAATTAATAAGTGCCCTCGTCAGGGCTGCATTGGTCTCCTACGAGCTCTTGAAATGATAACAGTAGAAAACAGAGGGTCGGCGAAGAAAAATGTTCCAGCACCTGTTTGTGGCCATAAGAAAGTAAAGTCAATGATAACTTGGATAAAGAATCGAGTGGAGAGGAGTAGGTGAGGCTAAGTTGAAAGGCATTGCTTCGGTGGTATCTACTGTCATTATGCACATTTTATATCTATACGTGCGACCTCTTTTACCTGACTACATTCACACACTGTTGCTCGTGCAGGTAAATATTCTGTATTAGCAAAATATTTTATCACACAAAAAGAGGATGACAGCAACAAAGTAACTCAGATCGAATCATTTCGTTTTGTTCATCCTTCTTATTTTTTTAAAATCGTTCTGAGAATTCTGTTTATAGATCAGAAGGAAAGGTACTTTTGTTGTAGGAAATGGTCTGATTTTTCTCTCTTGTAATGTCAATGATCACGTTAACTTAGAAAAGATGAAACTGAAACATTTCCGAAATTTCATTTTCCATGTATGTACATACAGAAAAATGCCCCAGTGAAATGTAGAGCCCCTTCTTTGAATTCATCACTTCGTTTATAAACTAGAAACTTTATGAGATAATACTATCAAAACCTGGAGACTGGATGATAATATTTCAAGAACAACTGTCATACTCTTTTATAGTACAGAAAGTTCTACCTTTATACCATTGAACAAATTGTCAAAACAAGCCTGCAGAAATAGAAAAAGAGAACAACTGCATCTCCACATTATAGGTAATACATCGAGTAAAGATGTTATCCCATCATGAATGCTTAAAAAATGAATTACGGCGCAGAAAGAAATGTATTTCATCTCCATCTTTTATGATTTATTATTTCAACTCACATTCTACATAGTATACTAAGAAAGAAAGACTAATGGAAAAAAGTCGTTAACTTCATGAATCTAAGCTACTCATTCTAACTTAAACGCAGGTGATAAAATCATATGATCAATTCGATAGTATTTCTGAATAAACATAAGTATTCTTATTCTAATCTGCTTTTCTTTCATACACTTTGGTTCACACAAAGCAAGATTTGAACTCATTAGATTTCAAAAATTCTTTTGATAAGATGTTATTAAATTTTATACTTCAAATGTTTCTTAAAAAAATCCGTTTCACCGTTACTACTATGGATTTTATAGAGTGAATTAATAAAAGTAACTACGTAGGTCTGTGAAAATAATCTAACTCTCTAAATATTGAGCTGATGATTTGGAGTTTTCATTCATCTTAGTTTCGATGTTTTAAAGTTCTTTCCGAAGTCTTATTTCGTAACAATACCAAATAACATGTGTATTAAATAAAAAAATACATCTTTCTATTAATGATTGTTTATTGTAAATAACGATTAGAAGAACATAAATATAGTTTATAATGACGTGGAAACAGTTAAACATATGTTATCAATGTTCTAATAAGAAAAGAATATCGACAAATAATAATATTTTTGCATTACATAAATGTCCATATGATATTTGGTGGATGCTGTTTTTTCTCTACATTCATGCTGTTAATATTTTAATATCACATTTTGTAACGTCATAAAATCAACTGTCAGTGATTAGAAAATTTAAAAATATGGTACCGAAATATTATCATTAATAAAGGTCAAAACTGCTTTTGAACACTCTGAGTAGGATCATAGTGTTGACGCAAATATATATGTAAGTGACATTTTTCAAATAAAAACAATAGTTGTTTGATTTTTCGTTGTACTTCTAGTCTTTGTTTTGTATTTAGAAAACATACTATGGTAATTTCCTATATATTTTTATGATATAAATCTAAAAAACAATCTATATATATATATTTCCACATATGCAATTTTTATTGACTTACTATTAGTGACGAATTCGCAATTTTCAGCAATAATTCGAATGGGATGCTTAGACCAAATAATCTTCTTGCAGAACAAAAACGTATAAGATTTTAAGAATTTTAAAATGGCTATTGATTTTGCTACGATGCTCTATAGATGATATCTCTCCATAATATTTTACTAAATGAGAATTTGAGTGAGACAATCATCTTCTAATAAATAGATAGTTACAATATAGATTATAAACCAATGCTATAATAGTTCCTACCAATATAAAGTTGTTTAACAATTATCATCAATGATTTATCTTATATCTTTTTTTTTCATTTTTTATCCAAAAACATGCTACATCTATCTTAATTCTATATCATATTAATTATCAGAAACGTATTTCCTTCGATGCTACCCAACATAATGCGGATGCCTTTTTTGACATTGTCATTTAGTTTCTTTAGTGCTACAATAATGATACATAAAGGATTCTTTCTTCTCTCCGAAGAAAAATGTTGATAAATTCTTCATCAGAAACGGTATCGCCCAATATAGTCTATCGTTCTTTTTCTTTCTTAGCAAAACAAGGCAAATCATAGTCTATTCAATGAGACATTATTTCTCCTTTCATCACATTCGCCCAACATACAGATAGATACAATAATGCCACTCGGCATCTACCTCGATACTCCCCAAGGCCGCAAACCAGCTACATTACCAACACATTTTAGTTTACATGATTTTCAAAGCTTAATACGAAAGAAAGTTGGTAATCCTGACCATTATGATTATTCACTAGGTGGTGTCATTTTCCGTACATGGAATGAAGAAGCTTTTAATCGTCAACGAAGTGCTATTCGTGATGGCATTAGTCTTATTATACAATATCCGCCTGTTATATTAGAAAAATCTTCTGAAGATGGTCCTGCTTGGAGACGAGCATCAGTAGGTTTATGTCTTGATGGTGTCTGTTTAAATGCCAAATGTCAAGCTTTTGAACATAAAGTTATTATGAATCAAGGCATTGGTCAACAAAAAGTTGTAGCTAACTCTACTGTTATTACTTCACAATGTCCATTGTGCGGGACAACTGTTCAACCAACGACATGTGCGTTTAATCAATGTTCATGGCGATTAATAGGCACGAAACGAGATGATTCAAGTACACCGTCTTCGTCTACCATAACTACCGAGTGGCATGATTCAACAAATGAATATCATCGATGGACAGATAGTTTCTCAGCATGGTCACAATTGACCATTGAAACCAAGAAATAAATTTACAAACCTATATTTTTTTTAAAAACTAAACATGAAGAAAGAAAAAAAAACTGTCTATTCGCATAAAGACAATAGGCAATTTACAAGCGCAAATAAACACTTTTATGTCTTGCAAAAAAAAAAAGAATAGTCGATAACTTGTTGTTTTCTCTTCCATTTCATGTGCAACCAAACAAAAAGTCCTCTACATAATAAAAATAACATATTATTTTTCTTTTCTTTTCCTCTCAGACAATATTTCTAACTAAGTAATATTTTCCATTCGAAATAATTGCGACGCCATTCACAAAGGATATGCAGCTGGATACAACTCACAGATGTATAATTACTTAGCAATATATCTACAATGTATTGTGTTTCCAAATAAAGATCTCCTATGTTATCCTATTTATGTTATATTATGAGGAGGAAAATGCATCATATATTTTAATAGACACTAATTTTAAATATAAATATATAAACAAGTCAATGGAACTAAATATTTTCTATATTTTGAGTTAAAGTACACCAAGAACATATTTTTTTAATTTGATTTCAATACAAAATAATGTCGTTGACTCTGCGTATTTAAGCATAACCCCTATTTTTTTATTATTGATATTCCCTAAGGAAAAAAAAGATTCGATCATGTTTTTTTTCTTTATATGTTCGTCGATACCAAAAAAGAAAAGGACAAGGGGTACGTTTTCTTTTTTTTTCTTCGCTCTTTCTGTTTTTTTTCACCTTGTGTTTGATGGCAAAATAAAAATGAAATACATCACCATGAAATTGCACCATCATACCAAGCAGTTGTGACATAAACATACGAATACTATGCACAATTTTTATCGAAGCAATGTCTACAACCATAACCACATATTTAGATACATTACCAGTGGAACTTCTTAATTATATTTTAAATTTTCTTGATACGCATACAATACTTCTTTCATTTCGTTATGTTTGTAAACGTTTTTATATTATTTCAAATGTTTATGATCAATATAAATTAAATTTAAATTTATGTAGAAAATATAACTTTTATCATTTTTGTCGTATTATTAATCCATTACATATTATCTCACTTATTTTATCCGATGATGATAAAACACCAGGTCAAATAAGTTTATTTCTTTCATTTTTTAATCTTAAACAATTTATTCATCTGCATTCGTTAACTCTTTTGGAAATTGATGATTCAAATTTACATATTATTTTAAAAGATTTAACTTATTTATTACTTAAATCGTTAACAATTAAATCTCGAACATCACTTACATTGACTCATCAAACATTAACATGCCTTTCAACAACACTTGAACAATCTAGTCTAAAAGAATTTACATTGAGTATATGGTGTTTTGAAATATATGATTTTATTTGGCCTAATCAATGTGAAATTGAATATCTCCAAATATCAAATCGAATCACATTTGAGCAATATTGTACTATTCTTGAACGGTGCTTATTTTTACGAACATTAATTATAAAAGATGTTCTTTGGAATGATACAGATATGGCTGTTTCAACCCATTATCGACAATTAAAATTTTTAACATTAGAAGATAATCGTATGGATATATATAAATTAGAACAATTTCTTTCAGTAACTCCATCACTTATTTATTTAAAAGTTATTGGTATGGCATATTTAACTGATAGCTATCGTTGGGAAAAAATTCTTCGAATAAAATTACCAAATTTAGATAGATTTGAATTTTTTTTTCTATCATGGAAAAATGTTAATTATAGTTTTTCTGATATTGAATCTTTTATACGACCATTTGAAACCGCATTTTGGTTAGAAAATAAACAATGGATTGTTAATTGTGATTATATTATTAATCCAACTGAAGTTATGTTATATTCTATACCAATATGTAAGTCATATTTTCAATACCATAATCAATCAAATAAAATTTCATGTTCAAATTTTACCAAAACTAATAATAATAATGAAACAATGATGGATAATGTTTCACAATTACGATTAAATTTAGTTAAAACAATATATCAGGAAAATTTTTTACGAAAGGTATTTTGCTTTAAAAAATCTCATTTATCTTTTATTTTTTTTTACAATATTTGATTAGAAAAATTAGCAAAAAGTTTTTGAATAGCTATTCTTTCAAATTTTATGATTAAATTTTTCTTGTACTACAAAAAAAAAACTACCCAATCAAACTTTGTTTTTCCTTTCCTTACGTTGATAAAAACATCAGTTTTCAATCTTTTCTTTTTGTTTTAGACTGAATTACCGCCATATCCTTTATTTCGTAATGTAACCGAACTTACACTTGATCTTGATTACAAGTGTCCATCATGTTTATCTCAACCATTATCAAGTCTAATAAATCTCTCATATATAACACAACTTTCATTGAATCTTAACTATGATCTTGCTTTTGATTTATACACTGCAGCAAATCTAATTAATATTTTTAAACAAACGTCAAATATACATACATTTGAAATATACAATAATTTATCTTCAATTAATTCTAATACGACAGTAGAAGATATTTGCTTATTAATTCCATCATATATTGAGCATTTAAAAATTACAGTCAAAAATGTAAATGAAATGAAAATTGTATTCGATCGATTTCAATATTTATCAAGCATTACGTTTCGATTTTCATTCGATACATGCATACCATCAGCAAAAGTGATTGAATCCTTTTTAAATATAAAAAATGATTTAACTTATAAAAAAGATGATTGTTCTATACGAGTATGGCTCAATGAATTAGTGAAGAATTAGCTAACGCAATTTGGAAATTTACTCGGTTAATTATTTGCATATATTTGTAATATTAGATGATTTTTTTATTTTTCTAAGGAAACTTTTTTTTAACTATTCTGACGAATAAATCATCGATAACAAAAAAATCTTAACATGAGTCATAATTGCTATTGATAATATGTTTTTAGAAAAAGCGAATCATATATTGGTTTTTAATGACTTTTCTAAAGAGAGAATCTTATTCAATTCCAAAAATCATGACACTAATTACTTAGGAAGACAATATTAGTAAAAAATCAAGCTCAAAATAAGAAATACAGTGTTCGTTTATTATGATTTAATAGAAAATTATTACATTCTCAAAATGTATTGTCGACAGACCATGAATGAATTCCACCTCATCAACCTGTTATTGGAAACTAAATTACAATAAAGAACAATAGCGCATGTACAAATAGAATTCACAGAAAAAATCTCATAAATTACCGTACAAAACACTCCCGTGAACCCTGCACGACATATACATCGAAAACCACCACCCGGTAGATTTTGACACGATGCACCATTAGCACATGCATTATTAACACAAGCCGTAGAGGTAGACCCACCAGATATACCTTAATCAATTATAAGAAAAAATATTAACCTTACTAATCTATCAGAAGATACCAGTGGATAATTCACAATAGTTTCCGGTGAAGCCTGCACGACAACTACATCGAAAACCACCACCAGGTACATTTTGACAAGTCGCACCATTCAAACATGGATTATTCACACAAACGTTAGGAGTAGATCCACCTGGTGTACCT